TTGGATAGGCACTGGCTGAAGATCTAGGGGATAGTGATCTGAATGACAGCCTCCAAAAGATAGCCTGGTCCCCCAAACGTTACATGGCAAAAGATGGGATTAAAAGATGTTAAAGGAGAAATGTATCCCGGATTATCTGGGTGGGCCCAGAATGCAATACTTACAAAAGAGGCGGAAGGAGTTCTGAGACAGACACAAATGACTCAATGCAGAGAGAGAGCAGGGAGAGATGAGGACACAGTCAAGGCAGGCTGACAACCAGCAGGAGCGGGGAGAGGCAGAAAGGAGCTCTCCCCCAGGCCTCAGAGGGGACTCATCACCTTGATTGCAGACTTCTGGCCTCCAGCATTGTGAGAGAATAAATTCCCGTTGCTTTAGATTTATTACAATAGCCAAGAAACTAATACACAGGGAAATAAAATGTTTGAAATCAGAAACTGGACATATAAAACCAACTACTGATCCAAAAAGAATTTACTTCAAGAGACCCAAAGAAGGCCCTAAAACCTTTAATCCCTGACCTCAAAAGGCAAACTGAGGCCATCATAGGATGCAATTTACCCCCAACACACTGGCACATCGGAGAACACAAACTCAGAAAAGGTCTAATATTTACATAGCTGCTGACAAGAACAGTGTCAGTTTCCCCCCAAACATACTAGCTGGACAAACTAAACATAGGCAACAGTTGTCACTGTGGGTGTTCTGCCAACACAAGTGTAAAGTTGTCATCAGAAATGAATATGTGGCTTCGAGTGGCTTACAGAAATCCAACAAATCTGTGTCTTGGACTCTACTCAAGCCAACTCTTCTCAGGATCACCTGGACTCCTTCCCATCAGTACAATGATCAGTTAAAGTCATCCTGTTAGGAGGGAAGGAAAATCAAAGTTTATGTCAGGGAAAAAAAGATGATTGCCCAGAGTCCAAGTTCATGACTAACAATGTGCAAATAGTCGTCATACCTAGTCAGGAACAAGCGCCACCTCACACTGTAATTTATTGCTGTTAAAAATCTATATTCACTGCACACAATTGGCTTTAGGCCCAATTTCATGTAAGATGGATGGAAATAAAAGTAGAACACATAAAAGGACAAAGAAAGACTTTGGGGGGGTGGCTACCCCAATAAAACGTGTAAGCTGTGCTATGTGCTTACACAAAATTCTTCAAAAAAGGAAAAACAAAAAAAAAAATCCCCAGTCCTCCTCAAAACCCTTGTACTCTGGAGACTTTTCTCTTTTCTAGTACTATGAAGGGCTCACTAAAAACACCACCAGAACTTTCCAAGAAATACAAAAATCCAGCCACCTCAGGGCATATCCTTTATCTTTTCCCATCATCATCCTGCTCACTGGGGATTCCAGATGAATCATCCTACTGCTTGGTTTTCAGGCAGACCCGGGAACATAAACAATTCTTTTAGGTTTGGCTGCAATAGTATGTATGTAAGTTCTAAGCTCAAGTGCTTGAAATGTAATTTTTGTAATACAGATTGTGACAGTCTTGGAAATTCTATGAAAAATTATTTACAACAATTTCCTCAACCAGAGAGAAATGTTCACCAGGCCTATTAACGATGACATTGTAAGAGAATTCACAGTAAATCAAGCAGTTCAGACCCTTGAAATGTTTCAAATTAAAATACATTATTAAAAACATTAACCGAAGGGTCACTGATCACTGTTTATAAACCCAAGCAGCTGGGGCTGGAGAGGGCGTCCCTCTAAGGAGGCAGGGTCTGGGGACCCGCTCTACAGTCAGTTGCTCCCTGCCTGCCCCCCTCCACCCTCGGGCTATGGGTCTGGACACAACCGGAAATCAGTTCAGAGAAACTGGCCTGCTTTTTTTAAAGGAACTAGTACTACTGTAGATTCGAATATATCAAAGTATGCTACATATTCATTTGTATAGTGAAGCTTGATTTGACGTGTGTATAAAATCTATGTAAAATGTCTTTCTTACTGAGGGTCAAGGTCAAAATCTGATCCAAAAGAAACCCAGTAAAGAAACTCAAATCAGGTAAAAAACAGAACTAACCATTTTCAAAACATATGCGCCATTATTTTAGGTGAGATGTAATCATCAGTGCTTAACTTACAAGAAATGTTAAAAACCTTAATGAAATATTCCTTTCATCCAATGGATTATCTGCAGAAGACAATCATTAGGATTTAGTGCTCAGTTTACCAAAGGTCACTTCTTAACATTTCACCAATCTCTCCCTCGCATTCCCAGTTAGTAAAAGTTCATCAACTCAAGCATTTGTCAATTTTAGATCAATGGTTCTTCAACTGGGAAAATACTGCACACAAACATCCCCAAACCCCCCCCCCACCCTAACATCTGGCAATGTTTGGAGACATTCTGATTACCAAAATTGAAGAGGTGGGGGAAAGGAGGTGCGATGCATTTATTTAACTCAAAATGTGAATAGTGCTGAAGTTGAGAAACCCTGTGGATTGTATTCCTTTCAACCCTACATAAATTGGAGACCAGCTGCCTGTTATAATCAAACACAAAGTAGGTTTGTCCCTTTGCAAGCGCCAAAAAACGGAAATCTCTCCTCCGTTCATGATAAGCACAACTAAAATCACCTTCTGTACAATACCAAAAAGGCCTCTAATCATAAGTGTGCTTTGTGTAATTGAAATGACTATAGTAAACATTCCCCCCACCCTTGGTGTTAAATTAGTGAACAGGAAGACGAATACAGCCGATATGCAATGAATTTTCTTTTTATTTTACTAAATAAAACACCTTGGAATAATCAACAGGAGGGCTGAGTGTAAAATAAACTTTGAAGAAATATTAGCAAAAGACAAGGAAAAGTCTAGGTGATGGATGAGTCCTCCTGGCCCCACCGGCCTAACTAACCACCCCCCAACCC